GGGGTTCTTGGGGTCATAGGCAGCATTCCTCCTCCTCCAAACACGGCGAGTTGAGTTGATGCCAAAGAGCTCGATTTTGGTCTCATCTGACCACAACACTTTCACCCAGTTCTCCTCTGAATCATTCAGATGTTCATTGGCAAACTTCAGACGGGCATGTATATGTGCTTTCTTGAGCAGGGGGACCTTGCGGGCGCTGCAGGATTTCAGTCCTTCATGGTATAGTGTGTTACCAATTGTTTTCTTGGTTACTATGGTCCCAGCTGCCTTGAGATCATTGACAAGATCCTCCCGTGTAGTTCTGGGCTGATTCCTCACCGTTCTCATGATCATTGCAACTCCACGAGGTGAGATCTTGCATGGAGCCCCAGGCCGAGGGAGATTGACAGTTATTTTGTGTTTCTTCCATTTGCTAATAATCGCACCAACTGTTGTCACCTTCTGTTTGGCCACGCAGTCGTGGGTGAACAGGGAGTACAGGAGGGGACTAAGCACGCACCCCTGAGGGGCCCCAGTGTTAAGGATCAGCGTGGCAGATGTGTTGTTGCCTACCCTTACCACCTGGGGGCAGCCCATCAGGAAGTCCAGGATCCAGTTGCAGAGGGAGGTGTTTAGTCCAAGGGTCCTTAGCTTAGTGATGAGCTTTGTGGGCACTAGGGTGTTGAACGCTGAGCTGTAGTCAAGGAACAGCATTCTCAAATAGGTGTTCCTTTTGTCCAGGTGGGAGAGGGCAGTGTGGAGTGCGATTGAGATTACGTCATCTGTGGATCTGTTGGGGCAGTATGCGAATTGGAGTGGGTCTAGGGTTTCCGGGATGATGGTGTTGATGTGAGCCATGACCAGCCTTTCAAAGCACTTCATGGCTACCGACGTGAGTGCTACAGGGCGGTAATCATTTAAGCAGGTTCCCTTCGCTTCCTTGGGCACAGGGACTATGGTGGTCTGCTTGAAACATGTAGGTATTACAGACTCGGTCAGGGAGAGGTTAAAAATGTCAGTGAAGACACTTGCCAGTTGGTCCGCGCATGCTTTGAGTACACGTCCTGGTAATCCGTCTGGCCCCGCGGCTTTGTGAATGTTGACCAGTTTAATGGTCTTGCTCACATCGGCTAAAGAGAGCGTGATCACACAGTCGTCCAGAACAGCTGGTGCTCTCATGCATACTTCAGTGTTGCTTGACTCGAAGTGAGCATAAATTGGCATTTAGCTCGTCTGGTAGGCTCGCGTCACTGGGCAGCGTGCGGCTGGGTTTCCCTTTGAAGTCCATAATCGTTTGCAAGCCCTGCCACATCCGACGAGTGTCAGAACCGGTGTAGTAGGATTCAATCTTAGTCCTGTATTGACGCTTTGCCTGTTTGATGGTTCATCTGAGGGCGTAGCGGGATTTTTTATAAGCATCCAGATTAGTGTCCCGCTCCTTGAAAGCAGCAGCTCCAGCCTTTAGCTTGGTGCGGATGTTGCCTGTAATCCATGGCTTCTGGTTGGGATATGTATGGGACTGTGGATACGACATCGTCAATGCACTTATTGATGAAGCCGGTGACCTACAGTTGACACCTTAGCCAAATACATTTAAACTCAGTTTTTCACAATTCCTGACATTTAATCCTAGTAAAAATTCCCTGTCTTAGGTCAGTTAGGATCGCCACTTTATTTTTAAAATTTGAAATGTCCAAATAATAATAGAGAGAAATGATTTATTTCAGCTTTTATTTATTTCATCACATTCCCATTGGGTCAGAAGTTTACATACACTCAATTAGTATTTGGTAGCATTGCCTTTAAATTGTTTAACTTGGGTCAAACGTTTCGGGTAGCCTTCCACAAGCTTCCCACGGCCAAGGCAACAAAGGAGTGGCTCAAGAAGAAGCACATTAAGGTCCTGGAGTGGCCTAGCCAGTCTCCAGACCTTAATCCCATAGAAAATCTGTGGAGGGAGCTGAAGGTTCGAGTTGCCAAACGTCAGCCTCGAAACCTTAATGACTTGGAGAAGATCTGCAAAGAGGAGTGGAACAAATCCCTCCTGAGATGTGTGCAAACCTGGTGGCCAACTACAAGAAACGTCTGACCTCTGTGATTGCCAACAAGGGTTTTGCCACCAAGTACTAAGTAATGTTTTGCAGAGGGGTCAAATACTTATTTCCCTCATTAAAATGCAAAAACTTTTTATAACATTTTTTACATGCGTTTTTCTAGATTTTTTTGTTGTTATTCTGTCTCTCACTGTTCAAATAAACATACCATTAAAATTATAGACTGATCATGTCTTTGTCAGTGGGCAAACGTACAAAATCAGCAGGGGATCAAATACTTTTTTCCCTCACTGTAGATATTTTTGTACCTGTTTCCTCCAGCATCTTCACAAGGTCCTTTGCTGTTGTTCTGGGATTGATTTGCACTTTTCGCACCAAAGTATGTTCATCTCTAGGAGACATAACGCGTCTCCTTCCTGAGCGGTATGACGGCTGCGTGGTCCCATGGTGTTAATACTTTCGCACTATTGTTTGTACAGATGAACGTGGTACCTTCAGGTGTTTGGAAATTGCTCCCAAGGATGAACCAGGCTTGTGGAGGTCTACACATTTTTTTCTAAGGTCTTGGCTGATTTCTTTTGATTTTCCCATGATGTCAAGCAAAGAGGCGCTGATTTTGAAGGTAGGCCTTGAAATACATCCACAGGTACACCTCCAATTGACTCAAATGATGTCAATTAGCCTATCAGAAGCTTCTAAAGCCATGACATCATTTTCTGGAATTTTCCAAGCTGTTTAAAGGCACAGTCAACTTAGTGTATGTAAACTTCTGACCCACTGGAATTGTGATACAGTGAATTGTAAGTGAAATAATCTGTCTGTAAACAATTGTTGGAAAAATTACTTGTGTCATGCACAAAGTAGATGTCCTAACCGACTTGCCAAAACTATAGTTTGTTAACAAGAAATGTGTGGAGTGGTTGAAAAACTAGTTTTAATGACTCCAACCTAAGTGTATGTAAACTTCCGACTTCAACTGTAGGTGGTATACTCCTCAATGCCATTGGATGAATCCCGGAACATATTCCAGTCTGTGCTAGCAAAACAGTCCTGTAGCGTAGCATCCGCGTCATCTGACCACTTCCGTATTGAGCGAGTCACTGGTACTTCCTGCTTTAGTTTTTGCTTTTAAGCAGGAATCAGGAGGATAGAATTATGGTCAGATTTTCCAAATGGAGGGCGAGGGAGAGCTTTGTATGCGTCTATGTGTGTGGAGTAAAGGTGGTCCAGAGTTTTTTTTCCCTCTGGTTGCACATGTGACATGCTGGTAGAAATTAAGTCAAACTGATTTAAATTTGCCTGCGTTAAAGTCCCCGGCCACTAGGAGCGCCACTTCTGGATGAGCATTTTCTTGTTTGCTTATGGCCTTATACAGCTCGTTGAGTGCGGTCTTAGTGCCAGCATCGGTTTGTGGTGGTAAATAGATGGCTACGAATAATATAGATGAGAACTCTCTTGGTAGATAGTGTGGTCTACAGCTTATCATGAGGGACTTCAGGCGACCAATACCTCGAGACTTCTTTAACATTAGACATCACGACGCACCAGCTATTATTGATAAATAGACACACACACCCGCCCCTTGTCTTACCAAGCGTAGCTTCTCTGTCCTGCAGATGTCTTTTATGCACGCTTCGACGAAAACGACACAGAGCCGTGCATGAGGGCCCTCGCTGATTCGGGTGATCTCTCTGGGTGATCTCTCTTTCTGAGGCTGATGTAAGGTTTTTAAATGGGTAAATACTCGTAAGGCCGCAGGGCCAGACGTTATTCCAGGGCGTGTCCTCAGGGCTTGTGCAGACCAGCTGGCAGGGGTCTTCACTGACATTTTCAACCTCTCCTTGGCCCAGTCTGTAATCCCCACATTTCAAACTGACTACCATCATTCCTGTTCTTAAAAACTCTAAGGCATCCTGCCATCCTAGCACTCGCATCTGTAATAATGAAGTGCTTTGAAAGGCTGGTCATGGCTAGGGTTGCAAAATTACGTGAACTTTCAATAAATTCCCTGGTTTTCCTGAATTCCTGTTTGGAGGATTCTGGATTTCCTGCTTATTCCCTGCTGATTCTAGGATTTAGGGAAAACCAGGGAATTTTATTGAAAGTTCCTTGATTTTGCATCCCTAGTCATGGCACACATCAACTCTATCCTTTTTACCAATAGGTGCCCTTCTTTGCGAACCATTAGAAAACCTCTCTGGTCTTTGTGGTTGAATCTTCGCTTGAAATTCACTGCTCGACTGAAGGACCTTATAGATAATTGTATGTGTGGGGTACAGAGATTGGGTAGTCATTTAAAAATCATGTTAAACCTTTTATTGCATACAGAGTAAGTCCATGCAACTGATTACGTGACTTGTTAAGCACATTTTTACTCCTGAACTGATTTAGGCTCGCCATAACAAAAGGTTTGAATACTTATTGAATCAAGACATTTCAGCTTATAATTTCTTATTAATTTATGGACATATCCAATTTGACATTATGGAGAATTGTGTGTAGATCATTGACAAAATCTCAATTTAATCAATTTTAAATTCAGGCTGTCACACAACAAAATGTGCAAAAAGTTAAGTTAAGGGATGTGAATACTTTCCACGTATCACACAGACACTCTTGCACACACACACCCACATACTTACACACACACACTCACCACCATGCACACACACACACACACACACACATATACACACACCACTTATGCTGCTGCCATACTGTTTACTGTTATTATTATATTTATCCTGCTACCAGTCACTTTCTCCTAATCCCTGCCTACATGTACATATCTACCTCAAATACTCCAGTATGACCGCTGACACGGGGCAGTACCTCGCTAGCTGCTTTGCCTTTGTCTTATGCAGGGCTGCAATCTGAAGGCCACATACTGTCAGCTGCCCCCCCCCCCCCATGTGTGTGACTCTGTGTGACTCTGTGTCTTAGGAGGCATGGTATGAGTTCCGGGTCATGGCGGTCATGGAGGAGCTGGTCAGCGAACCCAGTAACACAGTAGGAGTATCCAGTACAGGTGAGTGAACAACACACCTCCGCATACACATACAAGTCCATGGACACCCCTTCATCACACAGAACATGTGTCTAGAATGAGAGAGACAGAGGCATGGGGCAGGTTGCAGACTACATTTTTGATATGGCAGACTTGTAAAACTACTTAAATATAAATGAGTATTGCCCAATGCAGGCATACTTCTAGTCTGGTCCCGGAACTGTTTACACTGTCTTGCCAACCCCTATGTGTCAAACATGACAATGACCTTAGGAGTTTGCAAGACAGCACAAACACATCTGGGACCAGAGATTGGGACTGTGAGCAACCGTGAAGGCATCACCAGAGCTGCAAAAAATTCACGAGAACTTACTTCCTAACATTGGAAATACTTTACTGCCCCCTCCTGATGAAATAGTACAAATGCACTACAGCATCAGATTTTTTAAACAGTATTTGGACATTCATGCTGAATGATGTTATTTCAAATACAGTGTTATAGTACAAACAGGTACAATTCTCCCCAAGATCAAATGAAGAGGGTGGGAACATATCCACTATCCAGTCCTCTCGACAGTCTGTGTTCATGAAAGGAAAGTAGACTGACTGGTTGCATCACCGCCTGGTATGGCAACTGCTTGGCCTCCGACCGCAAGGCACTACAGAGGGTAGTGCGTACGGCCCAGTACATCACTGGGGCCAAGCTTCCTGCCATCCAGGACCTCTATACCAGGCGGTGTCAGAGGAAGGCCCTCAAAATTGTCAAAGACTCCAGCCACCCTAGTCATAGACTGTTCTCTCTGCTATCGCACGGCAATCGGTACCGGAGTGCCAAGTCTAGGTCCAAAAGACTTCTCAACAGCTTCTACCCCCAAGCCATAAGACTCCTGAACAGCTAATCATGGCTACCCAGACTATTTGCACTGCCCCCCCACCCCATCCTTTTACGCTGCTGCTACTCTGTTAATTATTTATGCATAGTCACTTTAACTCTACCCACATGTACATATTACTTCAACTACCTCAACTAGCCGGTGCCCCCGCACATTGACTCTGCACCGGTACCCCCCTGTATATATAGCCTCCCTACTGTTATTTTATTTTACTTCTGCTCTTTTTTTCTCAACACTTTTTTTGTTGTTGTTTTATTTTTACTTTTTTGTAAAAAATAAATGCACTGTTGGTTAAGGGCTGTAAGTAAGCATTTCACTGTAATGTCTGCACCTGTTGTATTCGGCGCATGTGGCCAATAAAATTTGATTTGATTTGATTTGAGATGAAGAAAGGAGATGAGGAAAGGAGATGAGGAAAGGAATTGACTCATGAGTTTTGGAATGCATTCCCTTGACCGAGTCAAGTCCTATGGGGAGGTGCATCAATCCAGCAAAGTTTCCTAATCCATTTCCATTAAGTGTGTTTGGGCGTATCCATCGCTATAGGGCCATAAATGATGAGTCACAGAATCAGGTGAATTGGATGGCCAGTTGGTGTGGTGATTGGCAGGGGCCTGCCAGGGACACACACATACGCGAACACCGAACACACACACACACACACAGTTAGTGTGGTGACTGGTAGTAGCCTGCCAGAGACGACCTGCCCTGCAGATGTCAGGCCCTCTCTTTCGTAATCAGCTACTTTCTCCTTAAAGTCCAAGCCTAGTTCAAAGGCTATGTATAGTTACTTGAGTAATTTGCACATAATGTAATACACCTTTTTTTGCTCACAATATTGCAGGTTTAAAGACTGGAAATATTTATTTTCTAATATACCAATATGCTTAGTTTACTGTACCAATATACAGCTAATATACCAATATACTTATTATTGTGGGTGGATGTTGGTCACAATATTGTTTTGAGTCAAACACCTCTGTCCAAGCCTACAGTCTCCTGGCAGACAAGTCATGTCATGTCTCCCTCTCTCTCTCACTCGCCCCCCTCCTCTGCCTCAGACTTCTTCCCGCCCCCGGAGATGGTAGATGAGGGGGGACTGACGCGGCCAGTGGTGGCGGGCATCGTGGCCACCGTCTGTTTTCTGGTGGCCGCTGTCCTCTTCAGCACACTGGCAGCCTGCTTCGTCAACAAACAGCGCCGACGCAAGCTCAAGAGGAGGAGAGGTGAGTCACATACAGTATTGACACACACAAGGATTCACAGATAGACACACATGCATGATTTGACAGCTGAAACAGTAAGGTAGCGCTCTATCGACATTGAATTGACATTGATGGCATTGATACTTTAATTATGTATTCTTTTGTGTGTGTCCCACCTCTTTTTCAGACCCCCCCCTCTCGATAACACACTGCAGAAAAAGCATGGAAACTCCGTAAGTAACCCAAGCCAACAACACTTTTATTTTATTTTCCTCCTTCGCTGCAAATTATGCAAATCAAGGCCAGGGTGCACTGCATCACAACTCAAGGCTTGTGACAGACACACCCATCAAATAGAGAAAGCCTATTGCAGGACCACCAATTACTGGCCAGCGATTGGCCAGATATTGATGGACAGGGGGCTATCACTGTTTAGCTAGCTATTACCCATAGTTCATCTCAGCAAAGCCCATACTTGGTATTTAACGGTCAAATTTTGAACCAACACATTCTCAATTCTAATCGGAGATATTTGTTGTGTACATTAAAATATCAATATGATATTGAAAAAAACTACAAAATTGACCAAATTAAAATAATCTTGTCAATAATTCCTAACAAAATGTGGCAGACCCTGGAGAAAACATATTCGGCTACCTGTTTTCTATAATGTAATTTTAATAGACTAGTAGAGCTGAGCTTGTACACAAGCGTGTGTATGTCACTGCCCAGAAAGTTAAATCCATCGTTATTGGCCTTGTTTTCCTAATTACAGTTGTTTTCCTAATTACAGTCGGATTGAACGATCAATAGCCCTGGGTCACTGAAAGGTTGTCACGACTGTGTTCACAAACATTGACTACCAAGTCTTTGTGTGTGTCCGAAATGGCACCCTATTCATTTTACATTTACATTTTTTGTCATTTAGCAGACGCTCTTATCCAGAGCGACTTACATGAGCAATTAGGGTTAAGTGCCTTGCTCAAGGGCACATCGACAGATTTTTCACCTAGTCGGCTCGGGGATTAGAACCAGCGACCTTTCGGTTACTGGCACAACGCTCTTAACCACTAAGCTACCTGCCGCCCTATTCCCTATATAGTGCATTACTTTTGAACAGAGCCATATGGGACTCTGGTCAAAAGTAGTGCACTATAAAGGGAATGGGGTGCCATTTGAGACACAGCCCAAGTCTTTTGGTATCAAAACAAAACAACCCTACATAGAGACATCAATAAAAAATCCCTCACATGAAATGCAGAACATTTGATCATTATTTGAGGGCGGTGCTTCAGATATCTGACAGAATATTGGATTGGAGAAATGGTTCTCGCTCAGTTCTTTCAAAGGGTCTCATTTGGCTCATGTGGCCTCATTAAAATAGCATCTTCATTGCCACATAGATTCTCTCTCTTTCTCACGCATTCCTTCTGTGGGCTTTGAGGACTGAACAAGCATACGCCATATAGCTCCATTCTATAGAAGTAGAATCTATATCTCTTTTGCTCCACTCCACACATGTTTTGTTGATCTCCTGGTGTGATGGTACAAACATTGCAACACGACGGACAACCACATTTTAGGAGAAGAGAATATGTTATGTCTGTAAAGTTATGTTGTTTTGAGTGTCATTTGAGAGGTAAAAACAAAAACAAAGGTAGGTATCCGATTTGTCACCGTAGCCTGTTATTTTTCCAAAAGCTGCCACTTGATTCTGATGCCTGTCTTTAGCCGTTTTCTTGGGGCTCCGTTTGACCTTTTTCACACTAAAGTGCCAACCAGAACAGTACTGTCCTAGCTTGGATGTTTTTCTTCCTCATTGTCCTATCCAGCACAGTTCCAGCAACTATGGTGGGTGTGTAACCAGGCAAGCCCAGTACATCATGGCTCGGCTTGGCATGGATCGGCTCAGTAGTAGTGTGAAAAGGGCAATAGGGTATAAAGCCCAACGTTTTAGGAACAGCAAACCAGTTTAATGCTATTTTGTATAATCTACCCTAGATGATGTGCAATGATAAATCAGACCACTAGGGGACACACAAGCGCTAATATGGTATAGCTAACCCATATCTGAAGTCCATGGATAAAATATGACCTCAGGTGAAGCTATAATCAGAGACCAGCTTCAGATACTGAAAGGGGTTAAATCCCTCTCTCGCTCTCTCTGTGTGTTAGAATTGGTGTAGGGTGAAATTGCCCGTAGACACTGAACTTGGGTCAGTTTTGCATTTACCCCACCAATGGTTAAAGTTAGGATTGGGGAAGGGGAAATTGATGCTAGATCTGTACCTACAGGAAACTTCACCCCGGAAGGTAAGTATTCAGCCCGGACTATGTTCTGTTCTGTCCCCTATCTCCTCTATGTTCACTGTGTCGATGACTATAGGTTAGCAGAGGTTCTGGCTGAAAAGCTGCCGTTGAAAAGTGGCTCACTGGCAAAGTATGGCTGGTACATGTGAGTTTCCATGGCAACGTGCCCCCGGGGGATTGTCTTCATATTTTTTTTGCCTGATGTTCGGCACCAGTGGCGAAACGCGCCGCATCATGTGTACAGGTGTACATTTACCGTATGGTGAATGTTGCGGTTACACATGGAGCTAACCCCTCCTCCTCTCTCCCTTTCCCATGATGCAGTATTAAAGGCACAACTACGGCAAGGATGATTTCGAGCTGTCGTGTGTTGATTTGTCTTCTCAGATGACAAAAATATCCGGAGGAGAATCCCCTCTTTTTCATTATTCCTCTTTTCTACCCTGACAACAATGTTGTTCTTTGATCTTTGTCGAGAATACTTTTTTGCCGCTGGCAGGAACTTGAGCTGTAAACAAATCCAATTGAAGTTTACCATGGTAAAAACATGCATGCTGTGAATGATGTTCCCTAGCTGGCTATTTTCATTTGGACCCAGGGGCCTCCCTCATGCTTCTTCACACCATCCCGGGCCCCTGGCTTTACTACCCATGCTTCTGTGGCAGGCACTAACTTTACTCTGCTCAGCAGTTTACCATGGTACACTAAAACAGTTTACTTATCAATGTTATCTTGGAGAGTTTTCAACTTTTCCCCACACTCTGAAATCACACTTCAAAAGAACAACAGACCAAACTGCTGACTGAGCCTAATTCATTTTTTGTCTGTTTTCTTCCCCTAGTTCTAATAACTGCGACCTTTGATGACTTTTGGATATGGCTTTTAATGGTTTACACACCGTGCCAAGCAGCAGCACTCTCTTGCATTGTATGATCCTATCAGTTTTGCCATATGCAGTACTCATCATCAACAACATTGCATACTTTCCAACCACTTGTCAATAAAGTGAAAGTGAAGGAGTTTGCATTGACTGACTATGGTTATGCACTTGAACGTTATCCTCCAAATCTCTCTTATCACCGTTGTCCATATTATAAGGCTTGAACATAGTCACAGCAAATGGAGAACAGAAGTACAAAAACATAAATGCTTAATTTATTGTTATCAATGTGGTATTTTTATCCAATACCACATTTTGCTTAGAGGCCAAGCTGTCATTATTGGTTTCTGTAAATGTTGACCCAAGCCAATTGCATTCCAGCTCACTATATATCACGTTAGAGTAATAGAACATACTTCAATGAAAGAACCTCCCAAAAGTGTTGCGCTAAAAGTAATGTATTAACCTCTTCTGACACTAAGAATACTAAGAGCACAGGTGCTAAGACATGCAACTAAGACATTGCTGATATGTTTTTGGTACCACTTTTTCGTATGTGTCTGTTCTACAGTTAAATCAATTACTAAACTAACTCCTACTACTAACTACTAAATTGTGCCAACAGTTACATGTACACACCATGCTGATTTTAACGTAACAGCTCTGTTCTTTTCATTTGCTCTCAATCAGTTAAATATACTATTTTGCTTATTCTCTATCCCACCAATATGAACAATTAACTGCCAATAGGTTTAGGGTTGAAAGTAAAAAAGAGGGTTTGGAAATGTCTCCCAAAAGTCATAGGAACAAAGGTGTGCATGGTGCTGCTACCAAAGGCAGACAGAGGGTAGGGATAGCCCTGTTCCCTCTGAAATGCATGACTTCCACAGTACTCAGTATTTCTTCCTATCATGTGTGGGTTTCTAATTGTACGCTGTATGACTGTGCCTAATAAATTGAGAAGTTATCAGACGTGCACCGGCCAAATCTCTTCTTGTGTCTCTCGCTCCTTCCCTGTCTTCTCGTTTCCCCTCTGTTTGTTTCTAGCTCTTGCTCTATATTTCTCTCCTCTCCTTTCTCTGTCTTGCGTACACCCTTTTGCTTTCTACTTCTGTTTCTCTGACTCAGCTTCTCTCCATCTTTCTCCTTCATTTTCCTTTTCTTAGTCTCTTTCTCCTACCCCTGTTTCTCTGACTCTCTCTTTCTCCCCCTTTCTCTGTCTTTGTATATCTCTCCATCTTTCTCTCCCTACCCAGCCTTTTATTTTGGACTCTCTCACACCCTCTGTCACTCCCTGTTTCTCTTTATTTCTTTCCCTCCTCTTTCTTCTCTCTCTCTTTCTGTGTTTGGACATGTGGAAGCTCTGGAGCCTCATTGACAGCATTCCTCCTCCTCCCTCTTCTCCCCTCTTTCTCTTCCTTCTCTCCCGTCTCTGTTGTGTTTCCCACCGCAGGACTCCTCTTAGCCCCTTGCCCGGCATAGAGCCCTACTGCGAGGGGCAAGACGCCAGCAGCTACCAGCCCCCGCCCTCCAGCCCTCAGTGAGTGTGGCTACCTGCACCTTGTTCAGCCCGCCCCTCAGTCAGTGTGCTGCTGGCTGGCTTGGCCGCATGCTTCATGTGCTGGGCACGGTCACACAGCGGTTCGAGCAATCGGGGCCCTAAGCACCCTCGCGGTCCACTCACGGGAGATGCAAAATGATTGAAAAGTTACAGCTGTAAAAAGATACGCACTAAGCAACCTACCTGGGGTCATACTGTTTTATAGTCCCCGGAGATGTCATAGTCTTAGATGTCCAGCTGGGGGTGACGTGCGTACAGCATTGTCGGGTACAAAGTGCCCTTCTTTGAGAAACCTGTTTAGCTGAAATTAAATGCATTCAAATTGGGATGAAAGCCCTAGATCCCGATATATCTGAATTCTTCCCGAAATGGACCAAATAGCAATTTAAACTAGTATGGTTAATGGTGTCCCCTGAGGTGTGCACAAACGTAGTGTGATAGCAGTGCGGACTGACAAGGATTTTCAGATTCGCGATCTGACTGCTC